CATACCTTCCACAATAGAGATTTCTCTCATTAGATTACTACAATCTCAAGGTGAATGGGAATGTGGGTACAAATGGCTACCATGTAGCTCAAACTAGACCCTGACCACTCTCTTGCTCTTGTTGTGTCTAGTGTTGCGTATTAGTTGTAATCATGTTTTAAAGCATGGGTTGGACCAATGTTGTCAGAATCCTTTCGAAGTCTTTTTTTGGTTTGGTGAAAAAAATGAAGCACTTCGATGCTTCGACCCCAATTCAGGGGAAGACTTTGAATTTTTTTTTAAATTTAATATCAATAAATTAGATATTTATATATAAAATATATAAAAATAATAAAAATAAAAATACTTTTATATAGGTATTTCTTTTCTGATCAAAGCAAATTCGAAGCAGACCGAAACAGCCCGAATCGGCAGCAACATGCTTCTCTTCGCTTCGGTTTATGCTTAAAATCTGAAAGCTTCGGCCTCTCTGACTGAAGCGAAGCCAATTTGATAACATTGGGTTGGACTTGGAACTCGTGCCCTGCTCAAGCTAAATGAACTAGGGTAATTCTGAGTCGACTCGTCCAAGTCCCTTGGAAGCCTTGCAAAGGGCCAAAAAATAAAAAGTAAGAAAAGGGAAAAGTACTAAAGATTTGGTAAAATTGGAAGAAAAAAAAAAAAATGATAAACAACAAAAAAGCATATATAAGATGTGAAAAAAGTTTTCAAAATATAGAAAACTAATTAAATATTATTTTTCTCAAAATGACTAAGAAAATTGGGGATAAAATAGAAAATTTCATTAAAATTCATAAAATCATATGAAAATTTAATTGATTCACACAAAGGGGGGTGTTCCGGACTCAACAGCCTGCCGAGTCTGAGTAACTTGGGTGAGTCCGAGTGAACTCACATGAGTTTCTTTGTCACTGATTGTATTAGATGTTGCTATTGGACTGAAACATGTCCTGCTTTTTATTTTAAAAATACTGTAAATAAGGATCATAATTTTAGAAATTCCCTCCAATAAAAAATAATTTAAGATGTTTTGTCGTCATTTTCAGTTTTTTTTTATATTTACCCCATTTTCCATTTCTTACCAAAATTCCCCATTTCATGACATTAACGGGTGTATACCAACCGTTTCATTTAACTTTATTGCAAGGAGGTCACAATTACTCATAATCATTAAATGTTAAATTGGATAGCTTTAGATATGAAGTTCGAAAATTTTATTTTTTGAGCTTTGAATCGAATCAATGACATACAACTACCCGAATTGAAATCTCACCGGTAAGAGTGACTTGTGACATCCTTCTTCTAAAAATGAAAAGTCTCTTTTGTATGCCTTTCTTTACTTAAATTACTTTGTAGTCTTGCATCTTAAAGATGAGAGTCATTCTCATACTAAAACATAAAAATAAAGTATGACTAGACAAATCAAACCCATTGGGAGTGCATGTCTTAACAAAAAAAAGCATGGAAATTGATCCAAGCACTTTTATACTCCAAAATCAAAACAAAATAGGAAAACGCTCATCTAAGGGTGAGGCCCTTAACAATCAAATTAAGGTGCACCTCAAAAATGGTTTTTTCAATGCCTAGAAATCCTCCAATTGATCATCTCAACCTCAAAATATATGGACATGAAAAAAAAAGAGGATTTCAAGTCTAGAAATAATGCATCTTGTAATGTATTTTTGGACTGTCAATTTTCAAGATTTTCAAGTGTTCATAGATCATCTCAATCTACACTATTTTTGAAGGTTTAAATTTTATAATGAGGATTACAGATCCCTACCTGCTTTGGAATGAGTCAATTTTTTGAAAGTGTCAGCGAAAATGGAGCACCTCAACAAGGTTCCCAATCCAAGTAGACTCAGTCAAGTTTCTTCGACACCGATTCACACACACCCATCCATTGCAGAGGACATGTGGAGGAATGATCCATAACTCCTCTCAAAGCCTTCAAATACTTATCATTTGTACTCATACTGATGAGCACAAATGATAGAACATTTTGTGAGAAAAGTGTGAAATCGTAATTGACATACAGGATCGTTGGCTGCAAGACCACCACTGACAAGTTCGAATTTTTTGGAACATTTTGTGAACTCATGAGGAGGAAAGTAAGTAGGTGCAGCAGTTGTGCCAATACATACATCTGATAACGAGAAATCCCTTGAGTTGCAAGCCCTCTTTCCCTGATAACAAGAAAAAAAAACAGGGGTCATATTCAACTTCATCTTCTGCTTTGAAGTTTTGAGATCCATCATAGAGGCTCAACACTCAATACAATCACTCGTCAGGGCCATCATCATCTCCACTACCATATAAGGCCATCAACATCTTCTTTCTTCTTTTTCTAAAGAGTAATTTACAGACACCAAAAAAAAAAAATGAAATGACCAATTTCGGTCAACCTTTAATTTTTTTATTTTTTCAAAATTACCTTTCGGTCCAATAAGCTTTTTATTTTATTTTTTTCCGTTTTTTGAAATAGGGTTGTACCCCAAGTTTTAGGGCAATGCCTACTCGGTCCAACGATAGAAACCTCATACTGCTCCTTAGACTAAGTAGAGCTCATGAGGGGTTTGAGGTTCTCATCCTAGGACCGGCCACATACTCATTTGGGAATGAAAACACGGGCGGTCCAAAGATAAGAATCTTGGACCGCTCCTTAATCTGAACAAAGCTAAGTTCTAGAACAGTGTGAGGTTCCCGTTCTAGAACAGTGTGAGGTTCCCATCCTCGAAATGTCCCTAATCTCATTTGGCAATGAAGGAACAAGTTGTTCAAGGATAGGAACCTCCCTCACTGGTCTGCTGCCCTAAAACTTGAGGCAAAACCTTATCTCGAAAAAAGTTTAAAGAAAAAAATGAGGCTAACCAACCTTCGGCTTAATTTTCACACAATGCTGCGGCCGTGGGATTACATTATGTGAGTAGGCTGCATCGAACAAATGTCCAAAGTGGGGATGACCACATTGGTAGTCGTCTTCGCCAGAGTAGTTTCTCTCTTACCAGGCTTTGTAATCTCACTCCCTCATATTTGGGGCCGCACATTGAATGCAGAAATGTGAAGAAAGCTCCAATACGCGTAAAGATACTTCTGATGCATTCAAATGGGATGCACCCACACGAGCATCTGGTATGAAAGGTTCAATATATGCCTCAAATTTAGGGCTCGCAAAGGACCTGCATTGCCCTACTCCATGTCCCGGCCCGACCCGAACTAGGTCTGAGGAGTCCTTGCCCAAACCTTGCCCGACCTTGGACAGGGGCTGGGCAGGGCCAGATAGACTCGAAGAGGGGGAAAATGAAAAAGGAAAACACGGGGGCTCGCCTCGGCTGGCCCTATTCTCGCCTTGCAGAGGCTCGACATGGTCCTTGGGCCGTGGTGGTCCCAACTGTGGCCTGGCCTTGAGCCATATTTTGTGGCCCATGTAGGCTGCCCAACCACCCCATCCCCAATCTATACCTAATTTGCATAATGTATGATCTTACAAATAGGAATAGCCTAGGTGCTAGGTTAGTAGAGTGTGACAATGCGACGTCTTGAGTTTCTTTCCCAATATGGATAAAGAACTCTTTGTCTACTGAGCAACTACAAAACAAAAATATGTTCATACAATTAATTAAGCAATGATTATTATAGGGTATGTCACTATAATGGTGAACTTAAATTTTTTAGTCTAAAACTTTAGGCTACAAAATGCCTTACAAATCTAACAATTATACTATCAATAACTTGTTTGAGAATTAGACTATGCATGTGAAGAATTAGCTTACCCCAATTCGTTGGGAAAAGACTTTGACGATGATGATGATAATGTTGCGAAGAATTACTTGCAACAAAGTGAGAAAATCTCCTTGCTGTAAGCACGATAGAATTGAACAATGTCTCGGGCAAGGTATTGAGGGCTTTCATCATCGGGGCTTGGTTAACATGGCGGTAATGAGACCCCCAGTACTCGTTCCAACGATCACATCGAAATAGTCAGAAATTCTTGCTTCTTTTCCATCCAACTTATGGTAACAAAAACAGTATAATTACACAATGTGCAGTGAGCTAAAACAATAGAGATGAAAAGTCGTAAGTGTATAATACTTAAACTATTGCATTTAACCAAATAAGAGATGGTAGTGTCAAGAAAATCGACTCAGTCAAGGTATTTGGCCTTTGCTCAATTCGAGTCCGAATATAATTCATGTTAAAAATAAATAAAAAATAACATAAAAATTAATTTATATATATTATAGTCTTCGTTTTTATGGGATTGAGCGTTAAATGACCTAATAGTCAATTCCTCCGCCCTCGGATTCCTCTGTGCAAGATGATATGGATTCGAATACTCAACCCGCCTATTTTCAATTTATATTTTCTATTTTCTTAAAAAAGGGTAGCACAGGAATAAACATAATGCTTTTGCTGAAAAGGAAATTCTGGTGGTGTGTTGGTTAAAGCGGTAAGCTCTTAGAATACCTCTTTATATGAGGTCTTACTCCTTTTTTTTTCTTAAAAAAAAAAGAAAAAGAAAAATAAAAGAAAACCCCTTTTTTCTTCTTAAAAAAAAAAAGAAAAAGAAAAAGAAAAAAAAAGGTTTAACGAAATGCAAGAAGAACCATAAGTAGCACACAAACCAATGTATTACTTGAATGTTTATGTTAAAATTTGGCACATTATTATATATATAACATATTAATAACGCCTATACTGTGTACTTGAGGCAAACTCGCCTCGCCCCGAGTTACTTGGCCTATTCTGAGTAGTCCCGGCCGTGTCTCAAAACACTATTATATAGAACATATTAATAACGCTTATACAATGTACTTGGGGCAAAGTCACCATCGCCTATAGGGCGAAGCCGAGTTACTTGGCGGATTCCGAGTAATCCCGGCCAAGTCTCAAAACATAGAGAGAAAGAAATGAGACAATAATGGATGCAAGAGAGAGATCATGATGAACTTGAAGTTCTTCCTCCAAGGCTGTGAGAATGACTGCAGGAATCATTCCTCTAACTCCTCCACCATCGATGCTAAGAATGGTGATAAAATTTCCAAAGTTTGGGTATACAATTGCCATTACTGCGATTTGAGTTTCGAGCTCTAGGCCTGGTTTTGTGTTGCCAAGACAAAGGACGTTCATGGCCTATTTATAGACTTCCTATGTAGTACATTTCTAGAGAGTTGAGAGCGTGGAGTACATTCTAGATAGAAAGAGAGCCATTAAATGAGATAATTGCAGAGAAAATAAGTTAGAAAAAAACGAGAAATAGCCCATCGTGTTACACGTTTGTTATATACCTTTTTTTTTTTTTGATGTTGCTATCTACCAATTTTATTTCCAGAAGCAAATTTGATGGAGATAGATTTCCCTCGAAGTGAAAACTCTTACACATCTCTACCAGTATGAGATAGATTTCCCACGAAGTGAAAACTCTCGATTTGAGGACATCTTAGGACCGAATTTTATTTAAATTTTTCGTTAGTAGGGGATTACCCTAAAGTTTGGGGCACTGCCCTACTAACAAAAAAACTAAAAATATATAAAAATAAAATAAGGTGACCAACCTTAAGGTTTTAAGGACATTTTAGTTAATTTATTTCATGAGAAATGTATTGTTTAAATGTGCATGGTTGAGAGTCGTGGGTACCAAAATTTCAAATTATCCTAATTAAGAATGATTAAAAACAAATTATTATTTGTAATCCTGACTACTCATTTCTTTTAGGTTGTCAACAGGTTCTGGTCCACCACCCAACCCGACGACTAGGGTTTGAGTTTGGTTCCAACTTTTAGACTCGATGGGTTGAGTCTAGGTTTAGAAGTATAGACGCGTCGGGTTGGGTCTAGGTCCAATCAAGACCTAATCAGGTCAAGCCTGACCTTCCTCGTTATTTTCTATATAGAAGTTTACATTTATACGACAAAATACACATAATAGACATTTATTAAAACACACATAAGATATCAACTAGTTGACATTTTGCTCATATCTTTTGATTTAATTTAATAATACTTATAAAAATACACATGACCGTGAGTTGGAATAGTTGCAAAGAGGTACAATATTAAATTATTAATAAGTTTGGGGTATTTTTTTAAATTCCCCTATATTTTTTAAAAAACTATATCTTAATCCAAACCCAACCCTACCCAACCAGAAGGGTCCAAGCCAAACCCAACCTTCCTTGATTTTGTCAAGTCCCAGCCTGGCCTTGGCCTGAACAGTAGATATGCAACCTTCAACGGTTCAGATTGAACCCAGCCTCATTTAATGTCCACAAATAATATTGTTTTTTATGTATTATTTTTATTTTAACATATATATTTGAAATTTAGGGCCTAGATTCATTTTTATATGGCATACAAAATAACAATAGTTAAAACTTATTTTTACCATATCCAGAAGATTTCTCAACTCGGACTGCCATTTTGGTGGTCCAAGGCTTGGGCGACACTAGGAGCGTCGCCCAGGCCAAAATGGTCCAGGTTCATTGTACCTAACAAAAAATGATTTGGGAGGTGTTGGCATGTGGAAATTGCCAATTTGGGGCAGTCGGGTAGTGTCGAGACCAAATTTGCTCAAAATCGGCATATTTAAGTCTGGGGTTATTTTGAGATCTTTGGGATGTTGCCTACCAAAAATCGGTCGATTTTGGACCAGTTTGGGCTGGGCGACACTACTGGTGTTGCCCTGGTGATACTGGTTTTGTCGCCCAGATAAAAACTATCCAAAATAGAAAATTTCTAGTTTTAGGGAGATCTAGGGGCTGTGAAGATACTATATGCCAAAAAGAACCAATTTGGATCAGTCTGGGTAGGCCGCACGATACTGGTAGTGTCACCCAAACCAAAACTGCCAAAAATGGAAAATTTCTATTCTTGATTGATCTAGGGGCTCTTGTGATGCTGCCTACCAAAAATTGGGTCAAAACAAGGTGTTTTGCTATTTTTAATGATTTTTTTACTAAAACATGGCATTTTGCAAGATTCTAGATCACAAGGCAAGTATTATAGACTATGATAGTCTATGGTCTGGGGTTTACTGAGATAGTGTGATCCTAAGGGTTCAGGAATATCATAAAATTTAACAATTTCAAAAATGGATGTCTACAGTTGCCCCTCTTTGGCACTCCCTGTCCTTTGAGGGACAAGTGGGTGGGAAAGAAGTAGACATTGTATACATTTTATCTTGACGTTTTCATGGTCAGAGGGCACACCAACTATCCCTCCATGACATTGCGCTCCCCGCTCACCTACCTAAGGCATTTTCATCCTAGGGTTTTCGGCGTGAGATATCGGTGAGTTGCACAAGCTTGAAACTCAAGTTGGATTTTCTGGCCATGCCACTTAACTTCAAGGGTTTTTTACAATTTCAAATTCTTAAACTTGATATTTACTTTGATTCCCTTAGGGTTTTCTAATGTCTTCTATAGGTTTTACTTGTTTAGGAAAAAGTTTGCCTTGTCAATTCTAAAGAGAGAGATGAGGCAACAAAGCAGTAATCATCGTATACGGGTGTCCAAGTTCCTTCGTTCTTTTAAATCTTTTTAGAAATTTTGAAAACGAGGGGGAAGTTTGAAATAGATCCCAAAGCTTTGGACAGGTCAAGATTTTAACAAAGAACATAAAGTTTTTTAAAACACAAGGCATATAATGAAAATTTTGAAATGAGAAAGCTTTTTTGAAAAACAGATTTTTAATTAGCAGTTTTAGCTCCTACAACCATGGAGCCCTCTAAGCAGTTTAACGTCATACAGTGATGGACGTGTACAAACAACCCTTTACGTGATATGGGGCTAGACGTATATAGCCGACCTTTTATGTCATACAGGGCTAGACATTTTCTGAATACACCCGACCTTTAACGTCATACAGGGTTAGACGTTTCCTATCTCAACTCTTTTATGTCACACGAGTTTGACGTTTTCCTATCTCGATTCTTTTATGTCGCACGAGTTTGATGTTTTCATGTCTCTACTCTTTTACGTCGCACGAGTTTGACGTTTTCTGTTTCGGCTCTTTTACATCGCAGGAGTTTGACGATTTCCTGAATTGTGATTTTGGTTGGCAGTTTAAACTTGTGCCACCAGGGAGTATATGAAAACTTTTGAAAATTAAGTGTTTGAAAACAGTCTTTTTCGTAAGAAAACTGCATAACATAAAACCAACTTTTGTCCTCGGAACGCTCCGAAATTGGAGCAGGGATATTTTTTAACTAAATATTTTGGGCGACACTAGTAGTGTGGCTCAATTTTTTAAAAATTTATTTTATTTTAGAGGAAAAAGTTGGGGCC